GACAGACACTGTGTCCTGATGGTGCCCCAGCTGCTTCCCGGAGTCAGGGCTCGGGATCACAGGGTCACTGTCAGAGGAGGCTGTGGGGAGGCCAGTATCTTCCCCAGGAGCACATGTCGTCTGCTCTCTTCTGGCAGCCTCCATGTCCCAGTGGAACTACTGCTTTTGTCTGGTCTGGTCAGGCCACCTCACCTCACCCTGCTGGCTTCTGGCTGTCTCTCCAGGCAGGGTTGTGGGTTGTTTTGTTTTGTTTTCTCCAGCTTCTTTGTGTGAAGCAATCTAGGGTCTTTTTTTGGCTCATCTTATTCTGCACTCAGCTCACAAACAGCTTGGGAAAGGCAGAGATTTGTCAGGTTTTCGTTTGAAATACTCCCCTGCACTGTGACTAAGCCAGCGGGCATCTATGAGAGGAGCTAGAGTCAGTCCTCCTCCCCTTCCCCTTCCCCCTCCTCATTTGGAACCACAAAGTTGTGGCTGATCCTCTACCCAGGAGTGGCCTAGTACCCCCTAGAACATAGCTGAAATTTTAGTTGCTTCCAGTCTTAAAGAAGTCTGTGTGTCTGGGGTGGACCTCTGTTTTTAGAGTGTTTGCCTAATATGCCAGAAGCCCTGGGTTTGAAACCCAGCACTGCAAATGCTGGGTAATGGAGACATGCTTATCATCCCACTATTGGTATTTTCAGAGTCATCTTTTGCTACTTAGAATTCAAGGCTAGCTTGGGCTATATGGAACTCATCTCTATAGCAGTAAACAACAAAATCCACCAGGTGGAGTTGGCACTGGTGTTTGTGTGTGTGTGTGTGCGCGTGCTTCTGCCAGGATGCATGTGTTGAAGTCATAGAACAATCTCAAGTGTTGATCCTCATCTTCCATCTTATGTGGGACAGGGTCTTTTATTCACTGCTATGTGTACACCAGGCTAACTGGCCCAAGAACTTCCAGATATTTATTCTGTCCCCACCTCCCATCTCATTACAGGAGTGCTTGGGAATACATGTGATGCTGTGCCCAACTTTACCTGGGTTATAGATTTGAACTCATACTTGTGCAGCAAGTGCATAATCCACTGAGCCACATCCCCAGCCCAGCATGACTGCTTGCCCCTACTCCTTTTAAGTAGATGCCTTAAAAGCTAGGTGAAACTGCTCTCTAGCATGTGGCCATATGTCCCTGAGGCGCTTGGGGATTGGAGAGTGACACCTTGAGTGTTTTGTGAGAGAGGCCACTTAAGCATTAAGTTCCAGGGCAGCCTACAGGTTCAGGAAAAATGCTAGAAAAGACGTGATTCCAGGCCAGGATTCTAGGGGAGGTGAATCTGGGAGCAGTAGAGATCAGCCAAGAGTCACCACTCACCCTGGGAGTGTCCTTTGGATGAGGCTGTGAATTATCTACTATACTGATTAATACTGCTCCCACTAGGGAGTGTGGCTCTTTCCATAAAGAGAAGCAAGTGTTCAGTTCTGGCCAGCAAAGAGTAGCATCCTCCTGGACTTGGACTCTCTTGGCTTCTGCCCCTCCCAGTGCTAGAGCATATGAACTTGACTCCACCTTGGGGTGTGACCCAGCCTCCATCAGTGACTGACCACGTGGGCCTGTTTCCTCTCATTGCAGACCTACAGCCAGCTTGCCCACCCTATCCAGCAGGCCAAGGCTCTGGGTCTCCAGTTCCACTCCCGGATCCTGGACATCAGCAATGTGGATGTAAGTCACCCCGAGGAAAGGGATGGTCAGTGAAGCACCAGCTGACATAGCCATTAGATGAAGCAAAGCCTTCTGGTTCCCACTACTCAAGGCAGGAAGCTCTTCAGTCAAGGTCTGCTTGGGCTACAGAGTGAGTTCCAGGCTAATCTGGATAACTAATTTCAAAAGAAAAAGTAAAAAGAGGCCTGCAGATATAGCTCACTGGTAAGAGTCCTGTCCTAGCATAGGTTGAATTCCTGGTACAGCCACAAACAAAAATGTATTCCTGCCTCACAGGGCTTTTCATATTTCTGTGGTTGGCATATAAGTGATCCCCTCCTAAATGATATGTCTTAAATTGGTTGTCCTGTTCCACCCGCCACCCCCACCCCGTCTGTCATCTGTCTTTCTCTTGAGACAGGGTCTCACTCTGTAGCCCTGGCTAGCCTGGAACTTACTATGTAGACCAAGCTTGTCTCAAACTCTCATTCATTCATTTCCCCTCCTCCTAAGGGCCTTGATTAAAGGCCTGGGCCACCGTGCACCGTGCCTAGAGTTTTTTTTTTTTTTTTTTTTTTTTTTTTTTTTTGTTTTTTGTTTTTGTTTTGTTTCATTTTGTTTTTTTAACTTCTTGGTGCAGAAGTGATTATTGCTTATTAGTGGATTTGATTAAAGCCATGCTTTAGATTTTGTTCAGAAATCTGTGAGGGCTGAGGAAATGGCCTTGTGGTTAAGAGCACTTGCTGTGAAAGCAAGAGACACTGAGTTTAAACAGCCAGGCATGGCTGCTCATGCCCATAACCTCAAGCATTTGGATGGGAACAAGATGACCTTGGGAGATTGCTGGCCAGCCAGGCGACCCCATCTCAAAATCAAGGTGTTGTCCTCCTCTGGTCTCTGTGCACCTGTTGGTACATATACTAATATACACGTGAAAAATAAAAGGCAAAATTCTGTCAGTGAACCAGATACACTATAATTCTAGCACTCTGGAAATTGAGGCAGGAGGATCCCAAATGTTTGAGGACAATCTGGACTACATAATAAAACCGTATTTAAGAAAATCCATATTATGACTTTATTCTAAAATAAGCTTTGATGGCTGGATGTGATAATCCCAGCATCTGAAGTCTGAGACAGTGGAATTCAGGGACATAACTATATAGTAAGTTCGAGGCCAGCTTGGGTTACCGGAGACATTGTGTCATGATAAAAATAGGCTTTGCATTACATAATTTTGCTCACATGAAGGCCAACTTATTTGCTAAGATGTGTATTACGTTTGGTATTTTCTGTTTGGGGGAGGACTGTAGACAGTTTCTTTGTGCAGCTCTGGCTCTGCCTCTGCCTCTCCAGTGTTGGGATTAAAGGTGTGCACCACCCACCGCTGTGCCTATTCAATACTTTTAAATGAATTTATCGGGCTGCTCCTCATCCTGCGTCCAGGAGTACCTGTGCTGTTGGGCCCCTGGTGAGCGTTGCCAAAGCCTTGGTGCCCTCAAGCCCCCACTGCAATGGTGGATGCTTCTCCCCCTGCAGTGTGGCCTGACGGGCAGCTGAGCTTCAGTCACCCAGACTTCTGCCCTGGTGGGAGCAGCAGGCAAAGCAGAGCCACCTTCCTGCCCTCCCTCACCCTCAGTCTGGGAGCAGACAAGTCCCACAGTTGAAGGCCTGGTGTTGTCCATGAGAAGGAGCCTGTTGGAAAATCACTCCCCCAAAGTGGGGGAGGGGTACTCTGCTTTTAGCAGGGCAAGATGCCAGGCCTCTTCAGGGGCAGCCTTGGGGTTTTTCATCTCCTGGGTAGTGGGAGGGAGTGCTCTTCTGAAGCCATGTTTCTGTGTTGCCTGTAGCTGGCCATGGGCAAGATGATGGAGCAGGGCCCCGTGCTGATCGTCACCTTCCAGGCCCAGCTGGTGATGGTGATCAAGAACCCCAAAGGCGAGGTGGTGGAGGGTGACCCGGTGAGTGGGGAATGGAGGGACATTTTCTCACACAGAGAGCCCTATGGGTACCTGCCCAGCATAGACCCCAGCTTGGAGCCAGGAGGGTTCTGGAGTTAGAGAAAAACAGCTAGGAGTTGGGACTTTTTTGGAGTCAGAGGATCCACTGTCTTGTCTGAGCAGTGACCAGAGCCAGCAGCCCTAAGCACCTCTCCCTAGACCCTCCTAGAGCCTTTCTTTTCCCCCTCAGAAGTCCTGTTCACCTCCCCACCTCACCCATCTACACCCACTAAACCCCTCCCCTCTCTCTGCCCTGTCTCCACAGGACAAGGTGCTACGCATGCTGTATGTGTGGGCACTCTGCAGAGACCAGGAGGAGCTCAACCCTTATGCTGCCTGGCGCCTTCTGGACATCTCAGCCTCCAGCACAGAACAGATCCTGTGAGGGCAATGATGGCGTCTAGGCTGCTCCAGAGCTGGAGCATCGCAGGACAGAGACAGAGGTTCCATGAGGCACCGTGGCACAAGACTAACAATAAGACCCAAGTTCTTCGGGACAGCTGTGAACCAGCTGGACAAGGAAAGGGGGTGGAGGTGCCTTGCGGGGTTGGGGTGTTACCCAAAAATGCCACAGGGGGCTGCTGGCAGTGTCAAGAGGCCCCAGCCCAGGGCCTCCTGTTGGGAGGAGGCCTGCCTGGCCTGCTGTTCTAAGTAGTCCACTGGCATTGCCTGCCAGGCCACTTTTAGGTCTTTTTTTTTTTTTTTTTCCCCTTTTTAATCGATGCTCTTACTTCCTGAACATAAGCCTAAGATCTGGACATAATAAAACACCAAAGCGCAGAAGAACATTCTGAAGTATATGTCTTTACTGGGAAGGCTGGGACTGGGGGCCTGTCAGAGAGCTTCAAGGTCAGCGGAGGGTTGTAGCCAGATAGGGTGCCATCTTCTCGGGCCAGAACCCTGCCCTCTTGTGGGGAGAATAACCACCCCAGCTATCTGGGGTTCTCTTGAATTGGCGGTTCCCCCGAGACTGCGCGACTTGAACACTAATGGGTGGTGCCTGGGGGCATTAGGATCCTCCTAAAACAGGCTGGGGTGAGGGGTCGGCCAGGAAGAATAGAGATACAGACACGGAAGTCAGGGTGAGGCTTCCGTGGTAGGGGCTAGCAACTACCCCACACTGCTGAGGTCCTGGGTGCTCTGGGAGCTGGAACTGGGGCCGACACCGCCTGCACTAATGGTGGGAAGGTCCAGTATCCCGGTAGGCAGGCCGAGGCGGGGTCACAATCCCAGGCACACTGATCCCAGCACAGCCTCCACCCCTCGCGGCCCCGCCCCCGTCACCATGGGAACAGCCGCGGCGGCCCGGCTGGCGCGCGTCTCTCCTTCCTCCCTCGGTCTCCACCGTTCCAGGGGCGGGTGGGGTGGGCTGAGCCGGGGCTGCCACAGCCTCCGCCACTACAGCCGCCACCCTGGGAGGACCAGAGCAGAACATCGCACGAGTTCCGGGAGAGAGGGGCTGCGGGGCGGCCGTCCCCGTCTAAGACCAAGGGTGAGGGGGGCGCGCTGTGGCTGGGGAGGCGGCGACGGGTGGGGGAGGGGGTCTTGGACCGCAGAGAACAAAGGGAGCGGGGTGGGGACCAGTTTAAACCGTGCCGCTCGGGTCCCTGGCCCAGCGCGTTCGCACCTGTTGTGCGCGGGCTGGGCAGATCTGAGTAGCCCTGTCGTCGCTCTCAGCGACCCCACCTGCACGCACCGCTAGAGTTGGGTCCGGTGTGGCTGTGGGGGCGGAGCACACAGGCTGGGCATGGGCGTAGTCCGGGACAGCAACACAGACAGGGACGATATTGCGAGCTACTGCAAAGGGGCGACTACAGAAGGGGTGGATGGAAGTGCAGGGAGGGCGTAGCCTCATCCCCGTGGACCCCGGGGTGGGCACCCATCTCTTCACAGGGCGTGCGGCGATGTGAGCTATGAACGCGGCGTGGACACTGTCACCGGAGCCCCTGCCGCCATCGACGGGGCCCCCGGTGGGCGCAGGCCTGGACGTCGAGCAACGCACGGTGTTCGCCTTCGTGCTCTGTCTGCTCGTGGTGTTGGTTCTGTTGATGGTGCGCTGTGTGCGCATACTGCTAGACCCTTATAGCCGCATGCCCGCCTCGTCCTGGACCGACCACAAGGAGGCGCTCGAACGAGGGCAGTTCGACTATGCTTTGGTGTGAGGGGGCACCGAGTCCCGGGCTGGTCCTCTAAGAGATTCCGAGAGGGCCGGCCCGGTGGAGGAATGCCACTAACCTGGGCTGCACTCAGTATATTGTGCTTCAGAAGTCCTAGCCCGGAGAAATCCAGTCCTTACCCCCTTAGCCACCCATCTCCCTTCTTGGCTGGGCCAGAACCCCACCTGGTGCCTTTATCTGCCCTGTTCCCTTCTCTCTGCACACTTATCCTCACTGCTGATCCCTCGACTCTGTATTCCTTAGTGGGCAATCATCCCGCCCCAACCTCAGCCTTCCCCAGCTACCAGGCATGAGTGTTACATCCTTTCCTGGGAGTGCAGACTCCTCTATCCCCTTCTTTCCCTTGTTTCAATGCCCTCCTTGAGTTCTGGCCCTAGAAGGCAGGCTGTCTTCAGCACCCTATGGACACTGCCTACCTACAATGCATGGTACAGCCTGCTCCAGAGACAGACCCTGAAACCTCACCATGGTTGTTGCTGTGTCGAGAATGTCTGGCACTTCATGTGCAGGATGAGTACAAGCAGGCTCATCCCCTTCAGCCCCAGCCCCAGCCCCAGCCCCAACCCAGGTTAGAGTGCCTTTCCTCTGCCTCCCCGCTCCCAACTCCCCCATGTTCCCTAGCCCTTCCCTTGCCTTTTTATTCCTCCCCACTTCTGAACGATGGAGGTAATAATAAAAGCTATCATTGAGCACTTACTGCATGCCAAGCAGAGTGCAGAGTTAGCTGGTCTTCTTACTTAGCCTGCTTGCTTCTGGGAATTTGTGAGAAAGAGTAAAGCCCCTGTTAGGATCCCCAGCCTACAGGCCAGGGGACTAAGTCCAAGCTGCTAGACTGACTTGCCTCAGGCCATTGATGTGGAATTAGTACCAGATCTACTGCTTAAACTGCTGCCTGGTCCTGCAAATACCCAATTTCAAAAACAGTCTTTCAGTATCTGGGGTGGGGGGAGGTAGCAATTGTTTCCATCCCCCTAGCTCATGGCATAGTTGAGACACCCTACACACACTCTGGGGAGCTAGGATGTGTGTGCCTTCAGCTAGCCTGAAGGTTGTTTTCCAAAAACCAACCTGCATCCCCCAGACTCCTGAGCCCGATCCCTCTTGTACCCACCATCAAATGTGTCTCAGAACCTGTGGGTTTGGCTGTGACCATGGAGTGGGCTGGCTAGGCTCCATAGTCTGCCAGGGAGAGGTGTTGTGAGCCTTAGGGAGCCGTGTGCAATGTGTGTGGGGAGAATTGAGCCTTTCTATAAAAGGAAAGCCATGCGAAGGCACAGCTCAGGGAACAGAAATTTTACTCACTCTGAGACAGCTCGTTAGGTGTGGGGGAGGGTGCTATCATGGGAGCATGCCTAGTTCCCCAGAAGAGGCCTAACTCCCCAGACCTGTCCTGTACTCCATACTCACCGGGCAGTTGGAACTTATGGTGGGATGCCCAAAGAGAAGTGTGGGGTTCAACAGTGACTGCAGCCGCTCCCCCAGCTCCGTAACCCACACCCTCCTAAACTCCTCCAGTTCTGTCTCCCTCCATTTACTTCTAAGGGGAGTTGAAGCTCCAAGGCCTCTTGAAGTGAAGAGACATTACCTTCCTCCTCTGCCCTCTGTGAGTCCCCCCCCCCCCAGAGAAATCCACCCTTTTTACCTCCCTGGAACACTGCTTTGCTCTGAAATCTTGTCCCTAACTCCTGTCCCACCTGAGACCAGCCTAGCTTTCCTCTTCCACCCATTTGTCAAAGAGCCAGCTCCACACAGTCACCAGGGAGCTCCTTATGGCCAAACTAAGGTCACTATATAACAAGCTTTTTAAAATCACTGTGTATTTGAGTACATCCAGACAACTTTTCAGGAATTGTTTCCTTCACCTTTACATGAGTTCAAGGAATTAATCTCAGGTTGCCAGGCTGCGTACCAAGCACTTAACCCTTGGAGCTATCTCACCAGCCCAGGCACCAGCTTTTGCTAGGGATAGCACCCTCTTCCCTGGCATCTTGCTGCAGCTCCCAAGTTATCATTTCAGAGCCCCCACTCCCATAACATAGTTAGCTACTTAGATGATAGCTTTATTGAAAGTTACAGGGCACCCCAGAAAAGGGTGGGGAGAAATGTACAGTGGTCAGTTGAGGGAATCTAAATGCAAGCCCAGATTGAGAAGGGCATATACATGAAACAGATGATGCTCTTATGGTACCCACAGCAGAGAACAAGGCACAGCTGGGCTAGGGAAGCCAGCCCCATCTGTCTGTCCAGGAATTCTGCCTGTGTGTGCAGAGTTCTCTATCTCCACTCATTACAGCTACTTCTCTTTCTGAGGCTGCTGCTTGCTGTGTGCAGCATCTGAAGACTTAGCCTGTGGCTGAACACCATGTCAGGGACTTCCACAATCATCCTCCTGGCCTTTCAGTACCAGGTGTTGGACTGAAGTTCCAGGCAGAAGTGAGCATATCTGGTCTTCCATATTCTTCACCTCGAAGGGGTGGGCACCTGGCCCAGTAGCTCTAGGGGTACCAGGAATGGGTTCAATGGGCAGATCCCAACTGCTTGCCAGGCAGGCTTCTGTTGTATGGGCTCAGAGGCTTGAAGATTGGCTTGGTCAGGCTCCTCCAGCCCCTTGGAGCCAGCCCCTCTATCGTCACTCCCAGGCTTGGGGCTCTTCTCACCAGGCAGAGATGTTTGGGGGGCCATCAGCTGAGCATATGTTTTCATCATATGTTCAGCCAGGGCTGTGCAAGGCAGGTGGGACAGCTCCTCTGGAAGTGACATGAGCAGGTCAAGGACCACAGCTGACTCTGATAGAAGGAAAGGGAAAGGTTTGACCCTGCACCCCAACTTCCCCCAACTAGAGCCCTCTCCTCCCCAATTCCTATTACCAGCTGCTGAGAGCTCAGGGCCATGGCCATTTCTGAAGGAGAAGGACAGATATTTGTAGATCTTCTCGAAGTCCACAGTGAAGTCTCTCTCTGTGGAGGGGCCAGTTAGGGACTTGGTTGGGGTATCAGAGACAGTGACCTCAGAGGCAAGGTTAGAGGTGTCAGGGTTGGGATCAGAGGCCTTAGGGACAGGGACAGAGGCCTCAGGAGTGGACTCAGCAGTCATAGGGGCAGGTCCAGAGGCTTCAAGTCCAGGATTCCTCTGCCCTCCTTGGGTACTCAAGAACAGCAGTGGCTTTCCACAGGCCTTCGTGGGCTTGCCCGGCTTGGAGTGCAGGAGGCTGATGGGTTCTGCAGCAGCAATGGTGAGCACCTAACAGGGAAAGGAAGGAGGAAGTCTGTCACCTTCCACTGCCCTGCTAGGCCTACAATAAGTCCTCTACCTCTACCTACTTATCAAATCCTCCTTGCCATTCTGAAGGTGACCTCGCTGGAGTTACTGGTTTGGCAGCAGGAAAAGCCCAGGACCCACATCTACATTCCCCCTACTTTTCTTTTGGGGTACTGGCAGGAGAGGCCTGGAACTCACTGGTGATTCTATGTACCTTCAAATTTGAAGATTCTATACAACACCATTGCATGACTAAACCAACTGGGCATACCCACCCCTGTGTCCTGTAATAAATACCTTCGACCTTCTGAGAGTGAGTGGGTGTACCTGGGAGAAAGCTGCAGTCAGGGCTCCCTCCAGTGGGCCTGTCAGTTTCTCAGCAAGATCCATCCATACCTGGGTGAAGCCAGTAGGTATATGGTCAGTCTAGAGAACCACCCCCAGGAACCTCCCAAGCTTTGCCCTTCCTGGAATCCCTCTGATCAGGTTATCCTCCCTCCTTCAAGGGCCAACTTTGGGCAGTCCACACCTTACTCTCCTGCCTCACCTCTATGGGGGCTGGGAGCTGTGCTTCTTGACGCCTTAGACCTTCTGTGCCACCTGGGTGCACCTTCCGAATGGCCTCGCGAACCACTCGACCTTTGAGCTGCTGGATAAATCGGCAAATCTGGACAAGGAGGACAAGCATTCTATGAGCTCAGAAATACGCAAGACCAAAGTCTACTTACTGCCTCGCTTGATTGCTACTGCTCCCTGTCCCGGACTAGCCCAGTGCTGCACATTCCCGAAACTGCTGGGACTCAAGCCAAGGCCGAGTGTGTGACCAGCCACTTAATGAAATCGTCGAAGCCAGGCCTATTCTTGCTCCTTCCTGGGGCTATAGTTTGCTCTTCTACTGAGAGCTAACCTATTCAGTTCCACTCTACCCCATTTCCTGAACTCCTACTTCATACTAACTTTGGTTCTGTCCAACGTCACCTTTGTTAGGTTGATTTATACAGCACTGGTGGGTCCCTCTATAATCACTGACTGCCCAGGAATTATGTAGATGGGGCTCACGCCACCACACCTGGCTACCAACTCCACCTTGAGCCATTCCCCAGCCTCACTTCCACTCCACTCCGCCCTTTGATTTCTCCTGCCCACATTCCTTACAATTCCTCACAGCCTTACTCTCACAGACTCACTCCAACCACTGCTTACGCCCCACCCCCAGGTTTACCCACTCACGCCCCACCTCATGTTCTACTTCCTTTTTCTTTTCTTTTTTCTTTTTTTCTTTTGAGACAGGGTTTCTCTGTGTAGCCCTGGCTGGCTGTCGTGGAACTCGCTCTGAAGACCAGGCTGGCCTCGAACTCAGAGATCCTCCTGCCTCTGCCTCCTAAGTGCTGGGATTAAAGGCATGTGCCACCAACGCCCAGCAGCTCCACTTTCTTGACGTATAAACAAACCCTCAATCCAGTAGCGTGCCATCCAGGTCCCGCCCCTAGGCTCTCTCCACCCCAGCTTCATCCAAAAAGCTTCAGGGTCGCCTGCCACAGAGCAGTCAGGCCCCTTAGGTATTATACCTGGGTCGGCTCCAAAGCGCCACCATAACCCCGCCCCAAACTCCACCCACAGCCCCGCCCCAAACTCCACCCTGACCCACCCACCACAGCCCCGCCCGAAGCTCCACCCTGATCCACCCAATCGGCCCGCTCCGGCCAGCACGCTCCCTGGCTCGGCTGCTGCCCCGGGATCCCACCTCCGCCTCACTGCGGCCTTGCAGCTCCTTGGCCAGCTCGGCGGCGTCTGGCTCCGGCTGGTCCCGCCGAGCTTGCAGTAGTCTCAGTAGATGCCGCATCTCGCGGGGGCTCCATGCCGTAGGTCCGGTAGTCTCACCTACGTAGCGGGCCGGGACCTTCCGCCTTCGCTGCGGCGGCTTCATCCCGGAACTCTGCAGGTCTCCCTCTCTGTCTCTGTCTCTCTCTCTCTCCTGGGGGCGGAGCTACGGAGGCTGCGAAGTTCTGAAAAAGCACTGCGCGGACGATTTAGCAGATGGGGGCGTGGCTCGCGTTCATCAGCTGAAGCAATGGCTCTTAAGAGCAGATTGAGGCTGGCGGGGGGGGGGGGGGGATCCCCGAGATGTTGTTGTTGTTGTTTTTCTCCTCCTTTTTCCGAGACAGGGTTTCTCTGTAGCTTTGGAGGCTGTCCTGGAACTCTCTCTCTCTGTACACCAGGCTGGCTTCGAGATTCTCCTGCCTCTGCCTCCAGAGTGCTGGGATTAAAAGCATGCACCACCTTCGCCAAGCGGAATCCCCAAGTTTTATCTGTGTTTTATATCACTCATGAGCTGGAACCAAAACTTTAGAGCCTATATTCCTGAGCCAACTCATGAAACATGGTCGGTGTGCTTTTTCTTTTTGTAGAGAAGTGGGCAGTTGCCCTCAAAATCCTGGCCTTAACTCGGGCGGAGGTGGCACACGCCTTAACCTGGGCGGTGGCGGTGGCACACGCCTTAAATCCCAGAACTAGGGAGGCAGAGGCAGGCTAATCTCCATGAGTTCAAGGCCAGCCTGGTGTACAGATCGAGTGCCAGCCAGGTCAGACTCCAAAGCTACAGAGAGAAACCCTGTCTCTAAAAAACAAAGTGGGCTTGTCATTTATGAGGTAGGGTATCTCCATATAGCCCTGGTGGCCTGGATCTCAATATGTAGACCAGGCTGGCCTTAAACTCACAGAGATCTTCCCGAATGCTGGATTTAAAGGTATGGCTTCATATCTGGCTCACTTGCTGTTCTTGCAGACGACATTAGTTTGGTTCCCAGCATTAACCAATTGTAGTTTCAAGGGATCCAACGCCTTCTTCTGACCTCCCCAAGCTTCAGTCATGCATATCGTACACATACATGCATTCAGTGACTACTAATCTAGCATTTGGGAGACTTTGGCAAGGGTTGGTAAACTAAGCCTGGAAGTTCCAATACTGCTTAAGCACGGGGGGCGGGGGGGCGCTAAGTAGGACAGATTCAAGAGGTGCATCGAGAGCTGAATGAAAGCAGGGCCTGGGGATGGGAGTGAAGAGCAAAGGTCTCACTTGGGGAAGAGCAAAGGAGCAGGTGAGCAAGTGTTGGAGCGGAGGAAAAAAGCAGGACTTAATTTAAACTTACGATGGCCAGGTTGGGTATCATTTCCTGTTCCAGGCAAATGGCCCGACTCTCCCTGGGTATATGTGTTCATGGAGGTTGGAGTTGAACTCCTCCGATCTAAGTCTTTTCCAACCACAAATCTGCCCCAAGGTTTAGTCCCAAGGCACAGCCTGGAGTCTGCCTTTCCTATCCTTTCCCTGCCACCCAGTGCCACATAGACTCCACTAGACATTAGCAGGCAGATCGTTGATTTATTTTAAACCGGGGGAGTGGGGATGAGAAGGCAGGGAGGGAGGAGAGACGTGCAGGAGTCCTCTCAAAGGGCTTTGAATCCATGGCTGGATACATCTCAGGACCTCACTGGGTTGTGTCAACTCTAGAGAAGGGATGGCAGAGGCTCAGCTTGGGAGAGTACTACTCAGGTCACAACATTTTCCCAGCAGGCATTGCACAGTAGGAACTGTGTCTAAATCCCTAAGTCTTACCTAGTGCCTGTTCAAGACTTAAGGACCCCCATTCTTTACTGCTGGTGATCCCATTCCCCAAATTCTATTTCCACATCCATCTTTGGCAAGTTACTTAACCTCTCAAAGTGCTTCGTTCTTTTGGAATCTCTAATGAACATTATAAAAGCAGCCTCCTGAAGGTGGTTCAAAAGATTAAATGAATATACAAACTGCTTGGAGCCCAATGAGTAAACGCCACTAAGGATCCTTACCACCACCTCTTTCTTCTATCTCTTGTTCCAATCTCCGCACCTGGTACTTACCTGCCTACTAGGGACTCTGGAGCTGGGGACCGCTGGGTGAAGAAGCTCTAGGAGGTTGGCCTGGTGCTGGAGGTGCTGAAAGAAGCAGCTGGCTAGAATAGGGGTTTCCTGTGCACTGCGCCAGGGTAGGCGCGCCCCCTGGTGGGAGCTACTGTAGTGTACTAGCCTTGAGGGTTAGATCCAAGAAAGTTCAGCATTGTAGGGTGCTTGGGGGTAGGGGAAGGGTGGAGTATGGGGGATAAACTATCTGGACTAATGGAAATAGGTGTGGGGTTCTGGCGGGACAAAAGTTGGTACCTGAGTGCGCGCAGATGAGACCGAGCCCAGCGGCCAGCGCAGCACCCAGCACGAATGCCGCCAACACCAACGCCACCACTGGGCCGGGCTCTAGGGCTGCAGCGACTGGAGCCGGCGGTTCAGGGCCCACTGCCCTGCCTGGAAGGCTCTTGGACGGCCCTAAGGAGATGTGTGCAAGACTGAGACCAGGCCCTGGACCTAGTTGCATTTTCCACCCGGGTTCCAGGGCCTCTTTCGAGCTTACTAGGGGGCGGACGAGGTACTGTGACCACGATGGGCTGCGTCAGCGTGTGCAGGTGGGGGCTGTCGGTACCAAAGCTCTCACCGCTGCCTGCGCATGCCTCATCCTGAGGCAGACACTGGGTTGGGAAGGAAGAAACCAGACTTAAGGGGCTTGGTGATTCTGGGTCTGGTCCCCCAGAGCTCCTAAAATGGACTTACTTAAACTTCCATCTTTCCACTGGACTCCAGGGGCCAACCCCTAACAGAGAAGTGGTTTCAGCCCTAGAACACCCCATATGCCAGCCTCTACGTCTCACATGAGGCACGCAGAGCAGATGCAGAGATTTGGTCGTGTCACGGTTTTCTGCATCCAGTCTCCCATCCCTAAAAGAACTTCAGATTCCCACCCAAGGATCCCAGAACCCAAGGCTGTGCATCTATCTCCTGTCTCCTGAGGATTTCTTGTGCAGGTAGATCCACGAAAGGTAGCTCTATAGCCAGTACCTTTCCTAAAGGGAACCCAGATCTTAAAGCACTCTGCCTCCCCAGGACCATAAACCTAGAAGAGTTCTTCCCTCAGCTGTCGGAGAGGCTTGTGACTAGCTACAGAGAATCTTTCACGAGTGCTCAGGTTACTGTTTCTGCAAGCGCACACCTGCGATGGCGCTGGTGGGGTCACAGGCGTCGGTGTCTGACGGACAGCTCGGTGGCGATGGCTGCGACGGCGGCAGCGGCTTATCTGGCAGTGCAAGAACTGCACGGAGGCGTTGAATACCGGGCGCAGGCGGAAGCTGAAGCGTGTGGGGCGAGCAGCATCCGGGTGTGGAGGTGATGAGAAGCTGACAGAGCCGTCGGCGGGGCAGCCCCCACGCAGAAGCACCAGAGCAGGCCCCGGGGCCGGGCGTGAGGAAGGCGTTACTGAGCAGCGATGCAGGACCAGGCCCCATCTCGGTGAAGGACGGGCCAGGGCCGCCTGAGGGACCAAGGCGCCATCAAGGTCGACCGTCTCCATTTACCCCCACCCACCCTCGGTGTTTCAGGCGCCCGCACCTGCACAAACACATGGCTGTCGGCTGGAACCTCCAGTGGCCCAGTGCGGCGAGGGAATGAATCCTCTGTGTCTGATAAATCCAGACTGAAAAGGGGTCTGCGCAGCCAGGGGCCAGGGAACGGGGGTGCTGAAACGGAGCACAGAGCAAGGAGGATGCTTCTAGGGAAGAACCTCCACCTCTAGCCCTTGCCTCTCTTGGAAAAGGGACACGCCTTAAAGTGGGCTTTTTCTTTTTTCCTTTTAAACCAGAGCTCAGCTGCGTGCCAAATTCTCTCCAGATTACTACCATATACCCGCTAGTGACATCACTGTCTAGTGGTCAAAACACACACAGAGCTGTGCCCCTTCCTTTTGCGACCTCTTTTGCCACCAGCAGACTAGCACGGGGATACACGGGGCCTGTGATGGTGGAGTTCAGTTAGGCAAGATCAAATCAGTTCTCTGCCTGGTCCAGGTTGCTCTATGTCTTAGTCTAAGAGATCCATTATGACCCACTGGCCATTAAGGAGAGGCAGGTGCTGACAAATGCTGTGCTCAGTAGGGAGCCCTCCCTAGAAAACGAATGGGAATTTCTGTTCAGTAGAGACCCAAAGCCCCACACAAATGAGGGACAGAACCAACAGGTGATGGTGGATGATCTCTGTGCTCACCCAGGCTTGCACTTACGTGCACACACTCACATGCTCTAAACAGGCAAATGACTGCCATTAAGTGGCAACTAGTGTGTGTGTGTGTGGGGGGGTTCTTAAGAATGATCTGTAAACCTGGCCCCAATCCCACAGCCCTTTGCTGTCATCTGGTTGAGAACTTGGAGGAAACTGGCAGAGGGGCTAGCTTGGGAGAAAAACAAGGGCATGTGAAACTGCGCCCTCCCCGCCGCCCCCCCCACACTCAGGTGCAAAACTAAGTTGAGAAGGATCAGGGAAGTGGGACATGTTGCCCCCACCCCTGTGCCAGCTTCTACATACCAAGTGGTGCATTGAGCACAGTGGCCGTCCCAGGGAGCAGGGCCAGCAGCAGGAATGCAGTGCCCACCATGGTGACCTGTCCAGGCTGGAGTGCTCCAGACCAGCAGCAGGCACCTGGTTGGGCTGTACCGTGGGTAGGTGTGGGTAGGCAGCCCTGGCCTTGGTGAGTCTGCCACTCTGGGAAGCAGGGAGCGGGGGCGGAGGATGCAGGGGCTGACATCACAGCCCATGCTCAAGGCCTGCATGGATAAGGGCTTTCTTGATGTGCTGAAATTAGGGCAAGGGGACCCCTGACAAGGTGGCTTGACACCCTAACTCACTCCAAACACCTCCCGCCTTGCTCATGAATTCAGTGTTAACCACTCACAGAAAGCCCTCCTCCCAGCCACTTCCCACATCTCTATAAATTCTACCAGGCTTAGGACACCACATTCAGAAGAAAAGGGAAGGGTTTTATTCTCAAGCATCTAAGAATTTACAAACAAGGGTATTTTGTTTTAAAAAGGGAGAGGGCAACACTGGTGGCCTGAGGATGAGTCCATAGGCCAGAGGGTAGGACCAGGCCACTCCAGGCCCCTACCTGCCCCACACCCACTCTGCCTGGGCCAGAGGGATGGCTGGTGACAGAGGGAAGGATTTGAGAGAGGTGGGGAAGTGGGGGACTCCCCCAGACTCCCATTTAACACTGGAGGAGGGTAGACACAGACAGAGAGACAGACAGACACACAGACAGACAGAGACACACAGAAAATAAAGTTAAATAAAAATAAAACCATGTGGCCCAGTCTTGGGCCTGTGCTGGCATGGGGACCAGCCAAGTGACCTAACTACCCATGAGGGCTGCCCATGCTGGTGGCTAGCCTCAGAATGGTATAGGTGGGGGCCAGGCTCGCTACTCCCCCCCACTTCACTCCACCTCCCCAGCATAGGGTAAGGATGGAGGGGCCCTGCCCCAGGCAGAGAAGATGACTTCTATTGCAATTTAAACATGCAGCATTGTGTGAATATGATGAAGATGAGTCAATAGGATAGTTAAGAGCCACAGTGTCACCTAAGCCTACATCAGCTACATCCAGCAAAGTTTCTCAGCTTTGGTGCTGGGTTTTGTTTGTGGTTTTAAAATATGTTTTGTTCTGTTCTATTGTTCTCTTGTCCACTTGATTTGCATGCATCACCAACAAAAAGCAAACATACCCACCCTATCCTGGCCACTGCAGGACAATGGGACAGACACTGGCCCAGTCCAGGCCACAAGGTGGGTTGGAACTGGCCAGCTCTAGGTAAGCTAAGGGACGCTCAGGGGCACAATGGGAGTAAGTCACTTCACATACCAATACCCTGGCCTCCAGTGCACTGAGGCCTGTCCGTCTTGTCCCTGACACACGTGCTCGGACCTCCACAGCTACTCCCATAACTCTCAATCCCTGACTTCTTTGGAACCCCTCCTGCCCCTCAGCCTCACTCCTGTCACTGATTCCCTCCAGTCCCCCCTCCTACCTGCTGTTCTCTCCTGCACCCCTCAAGACACCTTTCCGGAAGGCCATCTGTGCGGCAGAGGCCCCTTGGTCTCCCTCTGTACCACCTGAGCTCTTACTCAGCCCCAGTCCCATGTGAGGATCCCCCAATTGAACCTGGTCTCTCTGGACCAGAACTGACAAACAGCAGCAAGCAGTCCAACCCCTGCAATGCCTGAGCAGGGCAACGGAGAGGAGGGGCCCACCACAAGCAGCTAAACATTACTTTGGTAAAAGTTTCTGAAGGTACCGACACACCCCATGAGGACAAGCCCCCCCCCATACAATAAAATACAATAAACTCCAAAAAGGACCCCCTGAGATCAAAGAGAGAGAGAGAGAGACAGACAGACACAGAGACAGCAACCCATTTGGCTGCAGTCGCAATGCCCACAAAGCTATCCTGGGGCAAGGACTTGAGGAGGCCTGGTGGACCTGGGGCTTCCACAGAGGGTAGGAGTGGCTGGGCCCAGGCTTAGGCTAGGAGAGAGGCAGAGGCTGGAAGGGAGACAGGAAACCAGAAAGGGTCAGCAGTAGGAAGGGAAGGGAGAGAGGGAAAGATGTTGAGCAAGCAAGTGTGAGAGAGGGTGGAAGAGACAGACACTGGGAGTGTGGGGGGGAGGGACAGGGGCTTTCTCTCTGCCCCTAGGGGCCACCCCAGCCCAGAGGTTATGATTGAATAAATAGCGAGTCTGCTCATGGCCTGCTGTCTTCTGTTCACAGTGTCTGTCGGGGTGGGGTGGGTTCGCATAGCTGGCTGACCCCAGAGTGGGAAGAATTAGGGACCAGCATGCCCATCCGTCCACCGCTGGTGGGTAGGGAGTCAAAGGTGGATGGGTACCCCCTACTTTCTGTCCTCAGCCCTTGGCAGCCGTCCAGGTCCCAGGTCCCCTGATGGGCCAGCTGGATTGGCCAGGTGGGAAAGGGGGGGGGGCCTGTGGCCATGCCCCTGGGCCCCTGTGGGGCTGGCCGCTGCCATGAGGCTACCTGAAGAAGGGCAGGTGGTGTTGGCTCAGGACTCCACTAGTCCTTGGAGACTCGGTCTTTGCCATGACGTCCTTGAACCAGGACGCCACATCCACCTCGAGTGTCTCATAGTGCTTGATGAAGCTGTGTTCCTGTAGGCCCAAGAGTTAGCTTAGGATGAGGGGTCAGTCCTCCTGGCCCTGCAACTGAGGCCAGGAGGACTTCACATGTGGTGGGGACTGGGAGCTGGGTACTCACAAGTAGCTTATTATACTTTGGTCTCTTCCTGTGATCTTTAGTAAGGCTGGATGAAGAGTGGGGAGAGAAGAGAAATCAAAGTCAGGGAGGGAAGAGAAATGAGAATCAGGGAGGTGGAGCCTGGCTGTGCCTGGATGCCCACCTGTGCTCAGGCCCTCCCCAGTGAAAAAGGGGTCTTCCAGATCAGCCAGAAGCAGCTGCTCACAGCCAGGCTCCACCAGGCTGGGGATCCACAAAGTCTCCTGGCCCAGGGTAGCATGGTGAAGACCCAGCTGGTGAGTTGGAACCAGAATATGAGGTTCATACCAGAGAAAGTTAAGACTCAAGTGTGGCCTCTTTGCATAATCTCCACGGCAAAGCCCTAGGGTTACCACACCAGACACCCACAGGGCCAGCTGTCCCCTTAGGTCAGGTCCAAACCCAGAAAGCGATTCCTAAGGCTTTAGCATTAGGTCCGATTACAGCCTCTAACTATGACCTACCTGCAACTGCCCACGTCATCCCTTCCCTTTCCCCTCCCTAGCAGCATGAGGACACCAACATTCCAGAGCATCCAGAGTAGAGGGACAGGAGAAGGGACAGGCAGAGTGGGGGTGCTCACCAGTCTTTGACGAATGACTGGAAGTCCCCTGAGAAGCCCATGTGGCCAGGCAGGAGGGGGGGCTCTTCCTGTAGGACTTTGGTGAGGACTTCAAAGTCTGTCTTGCAATTCTTGTAGGGAAACTGTCCTGTTGCCAGCTCCACCTGAGAGGTGACAGCATTGCTGGAGCAGCAGGTAAGAGGTCCCTGCCCTCCCACCAAGCCCCCAAACAGGAGCCCCAACACACCAATGATATGCCCAGGCTCCACACATCTGCTCGGATGTCATAGTCAGGCTTGGTGGGGTCTGGAGGGTCAATTCGCTCAGGCTGCAAGGAGGGAGAGAAGGGTATACCCTGAAGGTAGGGCCAGCCCACACAGTCCCCTTGTCAGATCCGGCAGACCCCACTCACAGCCATGTAGGCGGCACAGCCAGCACTCCGCGTTTTGGCTTTAGAGTCAACAAGACGGCCACTGATGCCAAAGTCACAGAGCTTGATCTGGCCCCGTTCATCTAGCAGGATGTTGGAGGGTTTGACATCACGATGGATGACACCATGCTTCTCCTTCAGATAGTACAGCGCTTTCACAATCTGTAGGACAGACAGGTTCAGGGACCTGTCAAGGGGGACAGAACCTAGAGGCACCCACCTAGCCACACAAGCCCAGACTTAGCCACTCACTGCCACAGTCATCTTGCCCAAGATCCGCTCTGGAATGGGGCCCTGCATTCGTTTCTTCAGCTTCTCTGCACATGTGCCCATGAGCTCCATGGCAATGAAGACATCTGTCTGTAGAGGGAGGGTGGCACACAGGGCTTGGGGCAGCCATGCTTTCCTCCCCACCCTAGCCACACTCTGGTACCTGGGGACATGTAGGACCCTATGGGATAGAAGGATGCCCTGAGACTTCTGGGCATGTAGGACCCTATTGGGGCAAAAGGCTTGGCCCCTCAAGCACGGTGCTCACATTGGTGATGAAGGTGCCGAAGCACTGAACAATGTAGGGGCAGTCGTGGCTCTTGAGTACCACATCCAGGTCCATCAGGATGCGCTTATTCTCTTCCTTGTTCCCCGAGCGCCGCATTTGCTGCAAGGAGGGACAGCCAGGAGGGGAGCTTCAAGTGCTGGGCAGGCTGCAAGGGCACAGGATACATCCTGGAACTGGGGTGTGGAAGGCTCACCTTGACAGCAATGATGTGGCCTGTCTTCCGGAAGCGCATCTTCCACACCTGACCACAGGTACCGCTGCCCATCTCGCCCAGGTTCTCCAAGTCATTGATTTCTGCCTGATAACGCTGGATGGAGAGCAAGGCAGCTGGAGGGTCCTCAGAGCCTCTGCTTCTGTCACCCACCACCTCTAGCCTCCTGGGTCCTGTCACAGCCCCCAGGGTGCCTATGGGGAAGTAGTACCTGGCCCCCGATGGTCAGGTACCCTGTCTGCTTCATGATCTCCTGCAGCTTCTGGTCAATCTCGATGCTGAAGGACAAAACACAAAGAGCTGGTCAGAAGGGTCCCACAGATATCACCCACCTCCCTGGGAACAGCACAAGGAGGACTCTGTGCCGGTCCTGACACAAAGAGCTGGTCAGAAGGGTCCCACAGATATCACCCACCTCCCTGGGAACAGCACAAGGAGGACTCTGTGCCGGTCCTGCTCCACCAGCTTACCTCTCCATACTGCGGGGTGTGAACAAGGTTGACGGGAGCCCCAGCATGTGGCGGGGCCGGGTGGGGGGCGTAGGATGCTGTGGGGAGCTCTCTGAGGATGGTGAGCGGCTGCCCCCATCATTGGCCAGTGGGAGCTGCAGGGCTGGCGGGTTAAAAACCAGGGGTGTGAAAGGAGTTAGTATCTAGCTGGTCAAAAAGGGGTGGAGGCTCTCATCTTCTCCTCTCTCGTGTCCCTTTGGCCAGGCCTCCTTCCCCACCCCCTGGGGCATCTTCAGGGTACCATCTTTGTCCCTCTGATCTGAAAAGAGATGGGCTAGGCTGGTGGGAGGGCGGTGGTCTCAGAGGCTGAGGGTTTGTCCTCAAGTACATCCTGCAGAGAAATGGGGGGACCTTCTGCCAGGAACCCCTGCCCCAGTGCCAGGAAGCAGGCCTGGGGCAACAGTGCTCACATGGGAACCACATGAGGGCAGAATGCCCACCAGGACTGACTTGGAACCTGGTCTGGCCACCAACACTGCATTGTAGACGAACAAGAGCCAATAGCTATGGAACTCTGGTTTTAGGCTGTCTTGCCCAGATTCCACTCCCAGGTCAAGAAGGGCCGGCCACCTTCTGCCAGCTGGCTCATCTGTGCATCTCCTAGCCAGGCCTGCAGAACTGGGGTCAAGGGAGCAGGAACAGAACCCCAGGCTAAGCCTGAGCTCTTGGGAAGAATAATTGATAAGGATCTAGATGGCAAAGCTCTTCCAGGGGCTAGCTGGGCTGGGCAGGGGGAAGATGCTGGGCCAGGGAGGGGAGCTTGGTACTTCCCAATGGCCTGCATGCGGACGGCTTGGGCATGCTACAGGCAGGCGGCGGGCAGGCAGCAGGCACCCTAGGATGGGTAGGCAGTGTTAGGATGTGGGGGGACAGGAGAAACACAGAAAAAGAGCCAAGACTTGGGATCTAGCTGCCCAGAGGAGGTGCTGCATAGACAGCCAGAGAGTATATAAGGCATTAAGAATAGGTTCCTTGAAGAGCTAGTTATCTCTCCTGCCTAGTGGAGCCCCCTGTGGCTTCTGGAAGTATCTGTCCTCCATCAAACTCTCAACTTCAGGGGTCCCAGTGCCCTGGAAGGATCATAGCTAGCTCAGCTCAGGACATCAGCAAAAAAAGCATCCTTCAAATATGACTTGCCAGGTGGCCTGGAGCCTGTCACTTTTTGTTTGTTTGTTTTCTTTTCTTTCTTTCTTTTTTTTTTTTTTTTTTTTTGAGATAGGGTTTCTCTGTGTAACAGCTCTGGCTGTCCTAGAACTCACTTTGCAGACCAGGCTGGTCTCAAACTCACAGAGCTCTAGCTGTCTCTGCCTCTCCTGCCACTTTCTAACACACCTCTCCACACCCTTAACGTTACTACCTCCTTTTCCCACAACCAACCTAGTGGCTTTTGGTGACTTGGGCCCAGTGATTAATTGGCAGAGACAAATGGATTTTCACTGCTAATATCCAGGTCCTTTTTTCAGCCCTGAAGGTTGGGACACCAGCTGCACCCCGATTCTCTAGCACTGTCCACAGCTCACCTCCATGGGTACCTGTGAACCTTCTTTATCTGGCACCTCAGTTCTCCGGGTTGAGGACCCTCTCCACAACCTACCAGTCCCCTTACCCACACAGACCACCAAGCCCTCTTGGGTTGCCTCAGACCCATGGAAAAGGCTGCTGGTCATCTCTGAAGCATGGATTTGATGGGGCTAGAATGGAAAAGAGGAGAGAAATATACACAGGCCCAGAGAACAGAGGTTAGAGGAGTTATTGAGCCACATGGCAGGCCTGGAGAATACAGTAAGAATAAGACCACGAGGGAGGAAGAAGTGAGGATGAATGAATGAGAGACAGTACGACAGATCATGGGGACACGTGCTCATTATTCAGACTACCAACCTAACATGCATATACTCATGTGCACATACACATGTACACACATGTAAACCAAAAGCATGGAGACCACACACACACACACACACTGGGGACAGGGCTGGCCCTCTATCCTACACACACAACCATGTATACATACAAGCTGGGAACACACTATCACCACCAGTCAGCTCTCCTCATCTCTACCAACACAGGTGTTCTTTCTCTTATACACATGAGATACTGCATATCTAGGAATCAGCATAGCTGAACTGCCCAGCATGGGGTCCTTGTGTGTGTGTGTGTGTGTGTGTGTGTGTGTGTGTGTGTGTGTTAGGGGGTGGTCTTCCTCCCCCAATCTCCTGGGACACTTTTGTTCAAATCCTGTATCCTCCACAGGCTTTCCCTGAGCAACCCTGTGCTGAGTCCCTCATCCTACTAGACTGACTACAGGATCAGGAATTTGCTTGGTGTCTACTGATGGACCCCTTATTGTAGCATCAGCCCCACAGGACAGGACCTTGGTCTGTTTGCCTTACTGCTATGTTCCTCGCACTGAGAACAGACATAAGTGATGACACTCATTCACTCCACAGCTGACACAACTGATTAGGAACACAGGCCTCTACCCACCTTCTTATTCACACACAAACACACTTGTGTGCTCACCTAGCAGACTCCCACTTACTAGGGGGGCCCATTTCATCCTCTGGGGGTTCCAAACTGAGCCAAAGAAGAAATGTGAAGGCTAGAGGGCAAAGACAGAGTGCAGCCAGACTCACACTGCTGTAGTGAAAGGAGAGGAAGTGAGAACGAAGAGGCAGAGCACACCACACACACACACACACACACACACCCAGCATGAGGGGGGGATGGACAGCATTCTGCAGCAGGGGCAGCGGTTAGGTCAATGTGCAGATATGCAAGCAGCAATGATAAAAAGGCTGGTACCTGCTCGCTGGGACGGGGCAGGAGCAGGGCTTAGAGTGATCACAATAACTGGATGGGGAAAGGAAGAAAAAAAAACACCACGATAAATCACAACAGAAATAACTGATTTGTCCAACAGAAAAGAAATCAAATCATAATGAAGAGGAGGGGGAGGCGCAAGGCACCAAACTGCAGAGATGGCTAGAACTGACAGAGATGGGAGGGTGGGAGGAAGGCATGGAGTGGACAGACACAGACACCTGCAGACGGCTCCTTGGGGCCTGCCAGCCACCGGCCTTACCAGGTCTCACTCTGTTCTAGGGACAGATACCTCTCAGGGTGCCTAGAACCCCATACCCAACCCTGTCTCATCCACACCGGGGCTGGGAAAGATGGCTCTCCAAGATCTGGCCTGACTTCTGGTCCCAAGCAGAATCTAGGGAAAAGCATCCCCACCTCTGGGTAACTCCAGGCTCTGAAAGAAACTCCCCAGGAAGGGAAACTGGCAGACTCAGGCCAGAAGAGGGAAGGATGGAGGGAACCCCGAAGAGGAATTGAGGGGGACGATCAGGCTGTGAAAGTTACCAAGTGACCAGGAAGTGGGCAGAATTCTCAGCTATGGGAGGCTGCCTTTCCCCTCTTACGGGGGTGACCCACAGACATACTCCAAAGATTATATCACAGAGTATAAAAAAGGCATTCTGCAGGATCAAGAGGGATACAGAAAGGGTTGGCAAGGCAGTGATTACAGGGCTGGCAAGGAGGGGGAAAAATCAAATTCCTTCCATGGAGAAGACTTGGGGACAGGGGACAGGGGTATCTGGGATACAACAAGGATGCTAACTGTGGTCATGATGATGACAAGCCCGGTGTTCATATAGGAAGAGGGGGAACAGCTGTTGGTACAGGACCATATGTCAGGGTCAGAGAAGGAAGAGGCAGAAGGGAGGTATGTGTCTATTGGGTGGGACCAGATACATTCACAATGACCACAGGTTGTCTGCAGGACTAGCAGTCACTTGAGCCCAGGAGACAAAAGCTTCCAGGCTGAGAGATGGCTATGTGTTTCCAGAGGGCCAGACATACTCAGACAGCAAAACTGACTCTATCTCTGAGGTGCCCCTGTATGAAGGAGGAGGTGGGCAAGGTCCTTCCAGGCTTAGAAGAAGGAGCCATCAGATATGACCACAGAAGTCAAAGGGAAGCTCCTCCATTCAAAATAGAATTAGATGTAAATGAGGGCTAGGTGACCTAAATGGGCACATAGGTATGCATGTGTGTGGACTGTCTGCTAGGGGAGGGGACCTCTTGACAATCACAGAAACAGCAGGAATGGAGCCACTGGATCAAAAGAGATGTAACTGTTTGTAGGGTTGAAAGACTTGGCTGTGGTCTCAGTAGCTTCGGGTCTGAATGCCTGTTAGATGCAGGTGACAAGGCCCTGGCGGCGGACCACCGGGTGAGGGCACCCAGCCACTAAGCTCCCATGTCCCAGTGATGGGAGGGTCTCGGTGCGTGTGGGGAGGAAGGCGCCCTGGAGACTGCCCACCCGACTCCCAGGTCACCGTGACCCTCTCTCTGCAAGCTGACAGCGGTAAGGAGTGGAGGGGAGGAGAGCTAGCGCCCCGGAAGCGGGGGCGGGATCTGCCTGGTGGGAGGGGCTTGCCACAGCGCGCCCCGCCCCGCTCGCCCCCTCCCCCACGCCGCTGTACTTACTGGGCCTGGGCCGCTGGGGGCTGATATCCAGGTTGAGGTCGATCCTTCTCCGGGCCTCGCGGTTCTCCTGCTTCAGCTTGGCTTCCAGGCGGGATAGCTTTTGCTCCAGGGAGGACGCCGCCATCTTCCCCGCCGCCGCTCGCCACCAGGCCGCCCGTCAGCCCGGGGTAGACAAACACCGCACTGCGCCTGCGCTGCAATGACCCCGCGGAGCCTCCGTCCTGCCCAGCCCAGCCCAGCGCGTGCCCGCCCTGCCTCGCGTGGTTAGCGCCGCGCGTGCGCACTGTATCCCAGAAGGGAGCTGACGCCACCTAGAGTTCCAGGCTGGCAGTGTGCATTGTCATCACCCACAGCCACCTCCCGCAGTGCGCATGCGTGAGCCTCCCAGCTTTTCTGGAGACAGACGCAGTTCGAAAACTACAATTTTTTTATTTTTCTTTTTTATAAAGCGGAAGGCGGGCAGGACGGCAGCATACATGCAGAAAGGAAGGCCGACCACGCGCGCGGCGTCTACTGCGCACGCTCATGGCTCTTCCCGGATTCTTCTTCACACCGTACCTCCGTTAACTTCCTGCGCGCTCTTCCCAGCCCTGGCCCTCCCAGGCATCCGCGTTCACAGCACAACCTTCTTCATCTTGGTCAGCTCATCATTGGGATCTGTTAGGCTTAATTGCAACCTGACCTCCCACTGCCTACGTGAAGTCGTCCCCTCACCACAGTTAGGCACCCGTGGGAAATCCTTTCCGTTTCAGCCAGTAGAGAGTAGAGCAAGAACTGACAGGAGAGGAAACCCAGAGCTGGTGATTACTGAGCTCGGTGTCAGAATCTAGGTTAAAGCTAGACTTCCTGGCCGTGCCTACTTGGGACCTTGAGACGCCCCATCCCATCTCTTCGCCATCAGAATCCGGGCTCAGCTGGGGTTAGATGCCTCTGCGGGAGGGGGGGGGATGCTTCTTGCCCAGTTTAAAGAGTTAAGTCATTTAAAAGGTGCTAGGATGCTGTCTTTATTTTGTAAATCTGGGTCGCTAAGGAGCAGTTTGCCCCTAGGTTTTTAGGGCCAGGAGGAGGCTTGCATTGTACAGGGACAGTCAGCAAATGACCATACCCAGGAGGCTAGGCTGTGCCACAGTTCTGAAAGCAAATTTGGGATGGGCTTTTAAAGGCTTATCACAACTCGTCTAGTAATGACCTACAGGTGGAGCAGAAACAAGCTTGGAATTAAAAGGATAAAAGAGGAGGAGAAGAAATTGGATTCTTTGTTTTGGCTTTTCGAAACAGAGTTTCTCTGTGTAACCCTGGCCTCTAGGCTGGCCTCTAACTCGGAGATATGCCTCCCTGAGTGCTGGGATTAAAGGCGTGCACCACCACCGACCGGCTTTTTGGTGGGAGGAGAGATTCTTTAGAAAACAAAACAAAACTAGGCAGAAAACTCCACCTAATGTATCTTGATTAGATGAGGTCTCTACCTCACCCTCTATTTAAGTACCCCGGTTGTCTTTCCTCCCAGTACAGCCAGCATGATTTGACAGGCAGGTATTATCATTTGGTTCTGGATATAGAAAGCTTAGATAACCATACTGTACAAAGAGGTGAGAATTACAGTTCTCATTTATTAAGCACCCACTGGGATATTCTCCACTGCACAGGAAGCATTCAAAAGAAAGTCCCTGAGGGTATTAAGAAAAAAGGCTAGCAGTCACCCTCAACTTGGAGACAGTCTTTTTTGTTGTTGTTTTTTATTATTATTATTACTTATGTCTTCAAATTATAGAACAAATCTCATCAATACCATAATTCCTTTGTGCTGTATTATATTCCTTCTTGTATGTATCAAAACTTATACTGACAATGAGTTCTGGGTCACAAAAGAGGATTTATTGTTGCATTGATGCATCTAATCTGCCTTTGGGAGTCAGCCAGTCTTAAGAAACCCATGAATAGTATTTTTACTGGCTGGTTATATACCACAAGCTAGAATCATCAGAGAGGAAGGACCCTCAATTGAGAAAATGCCTCTATAATATCCAGCTGCATAGCATTTTCTTTTCTTTTTTAAGATTTATTATGTATACAACATTCTGCCTGCATGTATGCCTACCAGAAGAGGGCACCAGATCTCATTACAGATGGTTATCAGCCACCCTGTGTTTGCTGAGAACTGAATTCAGGACCCCTGGAAAAGTAGCCAGTGCTCTTAACCTCTGAGTCATTTCTCTAGCCCATAAGGCATTTTCTTAATTAGCGATTTATAGTGATTTATGGGAGAGGGCTCAGCCCACTGTGGGTGGTTCACTCCCTTGCCTGGTGGTCCTGGGTTCTATAAGAAAGCAGGCTGAGCAAGCCATGTGGAACAAGCCAGTAAGCAGCACCCCTCCATGCCGGCTGCATCAGCCCCTGCCTGCAGGATCCTGACCAGTTTTAGTTTCTGCCCTGTTTTCTTTCAATGGTAAACAGTATTGTGAAAGTATAAGCTGAATAAACCCTTTCCTTCCCAATATGCTTTGTGGTCACAGTGTCTCTTCACAGCAATGGAAACCCTAACTAAGACAGTAGTCCAGTTAGTTTGTATTTCAGTTACTTTGTATTTCAGAGTTTTTCCTGAATGTTAAATAAGTATTTTCATGGGGAAATGCAGTGCTTAGCTTCATGGATTCTCTAAAGCTCTAGAAAAAGAGCTCTGTGTGTGGACATTCCAGTATCCATTCTTAGTTGTTTTGGAGACAAGTTCTGCTATGTCTCCTAAGCTGGCTCCAAATTTTGAGACTCCTCCCTGAGCCTCCAGGGTATTATATAGGCATATTCCAGCACTCCTGGTTCATGAAATGCTTGGGATGGACCCCAGAGCTTCCTGCATGCTAAGCAAGCACTCCCCCAACTTGAGTTACACTCACATCCCAGTCTTTGTGTCAACAATTCCATTATAGTCTCAGGACCACTTGAATCAGAATTACCTGGCATACTTATTTAGTAGCAGGTTCCTGGCCCCCACCCAAAAATTCTGAGTCAGTATTTCAGGGTGGGGTGTGGGATGTTTTATTTTCTTCCTGGCTCCTCAGCTGATTTTATTACATAGCTATTGTTCTAAGTACCCATCTCTGTGGCAAAGGATTTATAAAATAAGGATGTGGCATTAAAGTTGGGAAAAGGAGGATCGGAACTGGTCCCTGGGTCTTCTCCTTAGGAGAGAACCCTAGATGTATGCTGATTTGTCATTGGAGAGGGTTAGAAATCCCATTGGGATGTGTCCCCCACTCCTGTATAGGACACTAATCAAGCTGGAATGTTCAGAGGAAGGACAAGCCAGCCAGCTAAAGACACAGGTGTGGTTTTGGTCCAAGAATCTAAGACTGAGTTAATCCTTCCCTGTGGGGTTACACCCCAAATCCATTACCTCCTGTTTCTCTCCAGACAAACCAGTCCCAGGATCTTGTCTGAACTGCACAAAACCAACACATCTGACTTTCCTTCCTCTCCCACTGGGCCTACTGGACATCTCCCATGGAAGACAATGCTGGGGCAAAAGCATCTGAAGGCCTCTGTGTCAACCTGCCCCTTCCCCCACAAGGCTTCATTCCTCCTCCATCTTCTCCCGCACCTCTGCAGGCAATCCCTCATAAAGAGTGTCCTCCACCAGCAGTCCTGACTTCTTCAGCCCCTTGCAGTCACCAAGTTCTTCTGGCAGAGCCTCCAACCGGTTACCCTTGAGCTCCAGACGGCTGAGGATCCGGAGAGCAGCCACATGGGGTGAAAGCTGAGTAAGATGGTTGTATCCCAAGAGCAATGTCCTCAGCTTCTGGCAGAAGAACAATTCATCAGGCAGGCTCTCTAGTGCATTGTAGGAGAGAGCTAGATGCTGGAGGCTCTGGAGAAGGCCCACCTCAGGTGGCAAGGAACGAAGCCCATTGTGGGACACGTCCAGCAGGCGGAGGCCAAAGCACTGGCCAAGCTGAGGGGGAAGAGTCTCGAGCTTGTTGTGACTGAGGTAGAGCTGCTCCAGGCCTCGGAGCTTCCTCACATGCTCAGGAACATAGGCTATCTGGTTGTGCCACAGCCTGAGAGTGACAAGCTTCCGACAGTGCTGGAAGCTGAGGATTTCCTCAATAGACCTAAGGTGGTTGTCCTTGAGGTCAAGTTCCTGCAGAGCCCCCAAACTAAAGACGGCGTGGGGGATGCGTTCTAGGCCACAGGCGACCAGTTCCAGCTCCCGTAGCACTGCCAGCTTTTTGAGGCTGTTGAGGGCAAGCAAGCGAGACCCATCATTGTGCAGGCTGAGTCGCTGAAGGTGTCCAGCCACATCAGTCACACTGGCTGGCACTTTCCCTGCATTGCTACGCAGAGACAGTACCTTGAGTTGCTTAAGCTCCCGGAGGCTCTCAAGGGTGGCAGCCCGAGCCATTTCTGGGGGAAAGAGTCCTTCCAGATGCAGTTCCTCCAAGCCTCTAAGTCCAAACACCCAGAGGGGCACCTCTCGGAGCTCCTCAAATTTGACACAGATCACCTTCAGGCGATCCCGCAGGAAGATCTGTGAGGAGAAGGGCAGCCTGGCCGGGGAGTGAAGCAAGCTGAGCTCCTGAAGGTTCACAAGCTGGGAGAGCCCTGGGGGGAAAGAGATGTCACAGATGGCCTCTAGTCTGAGTGCTTCCACCTCGCTGAGCTCAAAGACGGTGTCAGGCAGTCCAGGGAGCATGCAGAGGGCCAGCTCCAGCCGGCCTCGTGTGTTGCGCTGCAGCTTCTGCCTCAGCTTCTCAGGTGTCCACTCGTGGTTGAGGTTGAGTTGCTTCAGGCGGCTCTCACTGACTTCAGAGAGGAAGACTGCGAACCGTTTAGAATAGAGGGAGTCATACTGGTCAATGAGGTGGAGCATGAAGGCGAAGTCGTTCTTGACATCTGGGATGTCATTCATACCCGTCTCCTCACGCACAGAACGGAAGGAGTATTCTTTGAGGGGCCTATGGAAGAGCCAGTAGAGTGTGTACAGGCAGGTGATGCCATAGACACACACGAAGGAGATGTAGCAGAAGGCCAGCTTAGAGAACAGGTGAGCCTTGGTGTGGTTGCAGCAGAAACTGGCGTACCCTGTGACCTCTGAGGTCTCCACCCTGCAGGACACCAGAAAACTGATCTTCTTCACATAGACCAGGTTGTAAACCAGGATGGCGAAAAACTTACATACTTTGAGCACTGTCTGCCGGATGTACATGGAGTAGAGG